CGCAGCCGCAGGTGAGCGCCTGGAAGGGGGCAGGGGGGGCAGCGGAGTGTCAGGAATGAGGCAGATCAGCGGAGCTGTGCCACGTGCCCGTACAGCGGGGGCCGCTTGGTTTCGTTTCCTTTCCCGAGCGAGTTTCTTGGCGGAAGGAGGGGGTAGGGGTTTAGTAGCGAAGGCACGTGGAGTTCCCTCGGAGCGGCAGGGTTTCTCCCTGTTGTAATTTTAGCCCCCGGCCATTCACTCTGAACAATGGCGCCCTCTTAACGCTCATTCTCTTCCCCACGTGGGTCCCGTTCCGCCCTCCCTGTCCCGAAGCGGTCGCTGAAGCCTGTTGTACCGCCCGTGTTCAACTTTTAACGTTTGTTTTGTTTTGTTTTTAACGTCCGTGTATGTTTTAGCCCTAGGAGACGCCGTCGCAGCCGATCTAGAAGCAGGAGCCGCTCTAGATCCCGCAGTCGGTCCCGTTACAGTCGATCCAAATCCCGGTCTCGCACACGCTCTCGGTCTCGCTCCACCTCCAAGTCCAGGTCTGCCAGGAGATCCAAGTCAAAGTCCTCATCTGTCTCCAGATCTCGGTCCAGGTCAAGATCCCGGTCCAGATCTAGAAGCCCTCCCCCTGCCTCAAAGAGGGAATCCAACTCTAGATCAAGGTCTAAGAGCCCTCCCAAGTCTCCAGAAGAAGAAGGAGCTGTATCCTCCTAGGAACATGGTAATGTACCTCGGGATCAGCACATGTTGCATGTTACTTTATTATAGCACTTAGGTGGGGTGTTGGGTAGTTCTTAGAGTATTAATAGCCTTGAATCAAGTGAATCCTAATGGGGCACATTGTTTGTTCTTAGTTTGTTCTTTTTTTTATTGAGCAGTGCTTTTTTTTGTTATTGGTTTAGGGAAAGTAATACTGAAGGGCTTTCTACGGAGAAATTTTTTTACAGAGAAAATGTTTTATTGAGAGATTAATGGCTTGGTTTTAATAAAATATTGTATGAGACGCAACCTGTGATGAAAATGACTATTTCTTACTGTATTTATCCAACATCTGCATTTTCCCCTTTAAAGCTGCGGTCTCCTGTTTGCTAAAAGAATATTGGCCAGTATTGCAGATTTTAACTGATTTGGCTGATCCTCCAGGGACCAGTTTCTGTGGGCGTGTATTGGAGCAGGTTTGTCTTTAAATGTTAAAGATACACTATCCTTTTATAATGGAAGATCGATTCAGTGGCCGTTATACTGACTGGAGGTAATAACTGTTCTAGAAAAGGAGCAAATTCCTTGCAACAAGAAAACAATGGAAACTAGTTTTTCCTCAAGTCGACATCTTGAAGAGGCATCTAAGGATACACCGGGTGGGGAAAGGATAGTGTGTCTTTAACCCTTCAAACTGTTTGGTCCTATTTTTAAAAGGAAAGGGCCTAAGCTAGCTCTGAAGTTAGATAATTGTAGCAAAATTAGTCACACTTTTTGGTTTGAATGCTAATTAGAGTTAAGTCTTTTATGAAGAAGTATTAGTTTTATAACTTTTATATATAACTTTTAATAATTTATTGTTGAACAGGCTGAATTGAAGTTAATGGTGGCTTGATCTACAGCCTGATGCTTATTCTTCTTTGTAACTAAAATACTTTGACAGAACCTTTCAATATGGCCTCTGAAGTAAAGCAACACACGGGGGGGGAGGTGGAGCACTATGGAAATTCCTAAAACTTAATTAAATTAGGCAAAGCCAGTTGAAGCACAACTAGAAGTATACCTGAAGTTATCCACACAACCAAAAGAGACAAGGTAGAAACCTGGCTGAATTTTTCTTTTTTCAAACCTAGATGCATCACATAAATGAGAATCTCCATAAAGGACGCCTTTGGGGGGAAAAGATCGCTTGAGTCTTCAGTCCATTGGAGAGACCCCTGGCAGAGCAACCAGCTGTTGAAAAGGTTATTTTGTACCATTTTGTCTAACTTTTTACTTGTTTAAGTTGCGCCTCAAGTGGCAGATTTTACAGTTTATGTGCCATTTTGTTGCTGTTATTCAAATTTCTTGTAATTTAGTGAAGTGAACGACTACCGATTTCATTATTGGCTTGGATATTTGAGGTAAAACTTCATTTTTGTTTATATAGTGCTGACTTTTATTTGAAATTAAAACCAATGGTAACTTGCTGCCTCCAGTTTCATACTGAGGAAACACGCAGACATTATATGCTGAGTAGCTAACTGTCAAAAATTAATCTCAAATTTGTCTTTATTCTTTAAACAAAATTTTGCAGACCTTCAGTTTGAAACATACTGTAAATGCTTTTTTTATTTTTTTTTTTTTTTACTTTAAATTCAAATAGTACCTTCAAATTCAAATTGGTAGAAATCTTTTCAGGTGACAGTTGATATTTGAAAGGATTGTTTTATCAGACTCAATTCTAATCTCTTCTCTTATGTATTTTTGTGCACTAGGCGCAGTTGTGTAGCAGTTGAGTAATGCTGGTTAGCTGTTAAGGTGGCGTGTTGCAGTGCAGAGTGCTTGGCTGTTTCCTGTTTTCTCCTGATTGCTCCTGTGTAACGATGCCTTGTCGTGCAGAAACAAATGGCTGTCCAGTTAATTAAAATGCCTGACAACTGCACTTCCAGTCACCCGGGCCTTGCGTAAAAATAATGGAGCATACAGTGAGCACATCTAGCTGATGATATACACACCTTATTTTTTCCAGAATGGTAAAACTTACCAACCTACATATATGAACTTACATATGAGAAATGTAATGTTTAAGAACAGAAATGGTTCATTCCTTTGTAAGTACTGATTGGTGTATCTTTTGCTTAAGACATGCTGTACTATACCCACTGTCTCTGTAGTTAATATTAAACATTTTTCTGTGTTAACTTTTCTCAACTTAATGTCTGAGTCAGCTTATTTTTAGCTTGAAAAGATTTCTGCAATTACACTGTCAATGTTTAACTTCTGTATAGTAACTGAATGCGTTCTACTGCTTATAATTTTTATCCACTGGGGTTGCTTTTAAATTACTATGGGCAAACTTGTATTGTGACTAACCCAAATGTTACACGGTGAGTCTTGCACACCAGCCTATAAACACAGAATCAGACAGGTCTGTTGGACATTGTTAATCGAGATACACACTGAGGAGTACTAATTGCATTTGCTGTCTGCTTGCCCTGACTCAACAGGCTGTTGCTTGATGGTAGCTAATCTTAGTGATGATTTTTTTTTTTCCTTGATTTGGATACCAAATGGATTGTAACTTCAACCATTGTGTGTCAAGGGTTATTGTAATGCCTTTGTTAATTTTATGCATGTATGTTAAATGGGAATGGAAACATCTGATACTTGCAGTCTGGCTTGATTGAGGATTAAAAGTACTTTTCTACAAACTTGAGGAGTTTGTATGTTCTGGGACTGCATGGCTAGCAGCAGTCTACTCAGATTCGTTTAAAAACAAAAGGAACTGGCTTTTGTATGTGAATCTTTGGGAAAGAGCTTCAGTCTTGGGAAACATATTTTTTTATCTTGAAAGAGTGCAGTTCACTTTTCTTCCCTAGCTGAAGTTGTGAATTTAAGCCGGATCTTGTGGATTGTCAGGTTGTTAAGCTATGTTGTGTAGTGGCTTACCTAATGGAATTGAGTCTTTGAACTATTGCGTGGTCTTTGGGGAGGAGCACAAATTTCTCAAAAGCCATAGCTAAACAATTGAACAGCTTTATTTTTAACAATGCATGTTTAAAAAAAAAAATACTGCTAAAAGGGGATCTGCTTTCCAAAAATATGCCTGAAGTTGGCTGTAAACAGGACTGTTTCCTGCAGATCCATGTTACAGTGAACAGTTAAATATCATCTTGTATTGGAACCAACAAGTGGAATAAACTTAAGTACCATCTGATTGTGCTAGTGAGATGATCATCATTTCAATTGTATGTCTTCCTGGTAGAGCAGAGCTGGCCAAGTGCTCTTTGTCTGCACCGAAGGAATGTAAGGGAACGCGGGTGTTCTTCAGTTTCCATTTGCAGAGCAAAGCTTCAATAGACCAGTCAGCACTGAGGGGAGGAAGTACCAGTGTGTGAAAACTTAATCCAACTTTATAACTTCTCTAGCAGTTGTAGGAGACTGTCACCAAGCTTAAGGACAACAGTTGACGTAACCTGAGTTTGTAACAAGTTTTCTAGTCAACAGTAAATTTGTGCTTCTTTAATGATTTCCTGGTTTGGCTGCTTTTGTCTGATACTCCTAGGATTTACTTGGCTAATACCAGCCTGGTTCACAGTCCATGAGGAGCTTGTCTGGAATCAGCACAGTGGTGCCTCTGAGAAGTTAACGCTCTTTAAGAGCTAAGACTGGAATCAAGATTTGAGTCTTAAATATGTAAAAGAGTTTACCTTCGCACTTGGTAAGTAGTCCAGAATTGAGCATGTGGATTCTTTTCCAGCAAGAAGTAAATTGTAGTTAAAATATCTTCAAAGTCTGTGTAGTTTGGGGAGATGAAACAGTCTTGGTTAGTCTCTGGATTCTAGGTACAGTTAGATATGCCTGGTTACAGCAAATGGCAATTAAAAATCAGTATCAGACTAAGTGCATGTGTATGAGAGACCTGAGAAGCACAGCCTTAAGTAAGCAGTTAATCTCCTCTGTTTTCTATTCAGCCACCCTCCAGTGGTATTTAAGATAGCTAAATGCTAGAATTACCCCAAAATAACAAGTTCAGTAGCACAGCATTGCCTTAAAGGCTGTCACCTGATCTCTTGACAGTGTTCCCAGTATTCCTTGGACATGAAGTCCTTGTAGTTGTCACAAATCAAAGATACCTGAGAGTGCTAACATACCTTTCGGGTCAAAGAAGACATCTGATCCTAAAATAATGTCTACAGGAGCAAGAGAGAGCAGCTGTGGAGACACCTGCCCCCAGGTGAGCCCCATAACAGGTATGTGGGGCAGGTTGTTCATCAGGCAGCTCCTCTGGCAGTTCTGCAGGCACTGGGGCAGCTCCTCACAGTCAGACAGGATCACCTCAGCACCACACTTGGCAGCCACCACGCCAGGGAGACTCACACCAGCACCGATCTGAAACCACAGTGTGTTCATGGGGGTGGAAGTGGGGGAGGCCTCCCTTGTGGCTGAAGAAAAGGGGGGGCTGCCAGCAGTACCTCCAGCACGCGCCTGCCAGGCAGGCTCCTCCTGTGTGCCCAGAGGTACTGGGCCAGCACCACGGCGCAGGGCCACACGTACATGCCATACTGCGAGTCCAGCACCTGGAACACAGAGACACAAAAATGATGCGAGGGCTGGAGCAGC